CTGACTCTCACCAGTGGCTATGGATGAAGTCACAGGCGATTTTCAGCCAGCGCCTGAGTTATTTCCTTTTCTATGCATCTGAAAAGTTGGATGATGAGTAAGGATGATGGAAAAAGAATCAATGCCTTTGAAATGTAGTTTTGGGGAAGAGTACTAAACATCTCATGGACTAGAAAGAGAAGAAAAAAAAATAACACCTAAGACAAATTTGTCTTGGAGAAAGTGCTACCACGGTGCTTCTTAGAACCAAGGATGATTTTTAAAGAAATTCTTAGAATCCTCTTCATTTGCTTTCATACCCTTTTGTGTCAAGCCATAAAGCAACTTCTCAGCTTATCTTTCCCCCTCAGGAACAGCAATAGTAAACTTTCTTGGTTTTCTCCCTCTCTTCATTGAAGTAAGTAATAACCATTTTAACTGTACACCTTCCCAACCCCACATTCACAAAACCAACCCATGGGTCTGTGAGTTTGAAACAAGGAATCCCATTCCTTCTGACACCTTACATTTCATCCAGAACAGTGGGTTTGTTCTTGGTTTTTTTCAAGATCCCAATCCATGGTATGTTGAATATTCTTCACCAATCCCATAATTCAATGACAGCAATTTTTCTTCTGTGTTCTTTATTCTGTACAACTTTCATGCATATGAAGTGTTGAAAACAGCATGACTTGGCCCCAGCACATTTTAATCTTTAAAGTGACATGTTTGCTCTTTAGCACTTTAAAGAGATCCTTGGGCAGATCTGCCCAATGAAATACACTGATTTATTGACTGCTGTTCCCATGTACATTGACTGTGGATCCTAAAAAATTTACATCTTTGACAATCTCATATTTTATCACTTTATTACTTCTTCAAAGACCTTTTACTCTTCCCAGCATAATGACTTTTTTCCAAGGACATTCATCTCCTGATAGTTTGCCCAAATTATATGAGGCAAAGTTTAACCATTCTTCTGTCTAAGGAACACCCTGGCATATTTTAGTCATTAGATTATTAAAGGATATTGTCCCAGTTGGGAGTTTGGGTTTTTTATGTTGTTGTTATGTGCCATCACATAGAGACTCCTATGTACAACAACCCTAAACCTTTCCCTATCATCCTGTGCCAATCTCACTGTCTCCAACAAACCTACCCCTACTATCCCAGTCACCGAATCAGTCCATCTCATCAAAGGTCTTCCTCTCCTGCGCTGTCCCTCCACCTTCCCAAACATGATGTCCCCCTCCAAGGACTGGCCCTTTCTCGCAACATGTCCAAAATATGTCAGATGAAGCTTCAGAATCCTTGCCTCCAACAAGCAACCTGGTTTCATCTTCTTCAGGATGAACTTGCTTGTTATTTTAGCAGTCGGAGACAGTGCGATTGGCACAGGATAGAGCAGAGTTTAGGGCTGTTGTACATAGGGTCACTATGAGTCGCAAGCAACTCGATGGCACATAACAACAACAACACCATGGTATATTCAATACTCTTCTCCAGCACCACAGCTCAAAGCCATCAATTTTCCTTCTGTCATCCTTAGTCATCGTCCAGCTGTCTGATGGTTTTTTCATAGTTCTGATAAATTCATTGGGTGAGCAAGAATTTTTAATTTTTAGGACACCTAACTTATTATAAGGTGGCATATTCCGCAGGGAGTCCTGTTGCTAACCCAAAGGTGGCACCTCTCTGATTTTTCATCCACCAGTAGCTTCATTTGAGAAAGATGGACAATCTCTTCCTGCTTGATTTATGGCCTTGGAAATCCACTGGAGGGTGAGCTATGAGTCAGTTCTGACTTGACAACAATGAGTTTGAGTTTTGAAGGTTTTTAAAACTTGTTTCTCTTTTGTTGTTTGTGCTTTTGTTATAATAGGCAAGGATGGTGAAAATTTGTCTCACATGTTTTGGGCATATTATCAAGAGAGACCAATCCTTGAGGGGAAGAAAATGTCATACTGGAAAAAATGGAGGGCCAGGCAAAGATAGGAAGACCCTCACAAGTTGTATTGACACAGTGACTATAAAAGTGGGCAAAGTTTAGATCCGTTGTTCATAGGGTTGCTATGAATCATATTGTACCTGAGGGAACCTGACAACAACATCTGTCAAAATGCCAGGACAACATATGCCAGGAAATTTGGAGGATAGTTACCTCATCAACTAACTAGAAGAGATTTATATTTGTTTCCAATCCCAAGAAAGGTGATCCAACAGAATGTGTAAATAATTGAACAATATCATGTATATACCATGTTGTTCCTGGTTGGCTGGCTCCTCCCAGGGTCTTGGGAAGTTCTCCTTGCCAGAAGGAAGGAGCATGGTGGTGTGAGCGCAGGAATCGTGGCAAGCGTGTGGAGTCGAGTGCTTTTCCGGGCATGTGTTTGACGTGCAGGTAGTATAGCACTGGTCTGTGCATTGCTGTACAGAGGTAACTCGTGGTTGCTGTGATGCTGAAGACTGTGACAGTGATGTGCCAATCACGGTAATGGGTACCCATGGTGGACAGTGTTGGCTGGAGCTTCCCGACTAAATCAAGCCTGGAAGCAGGACCGGCATTCACTTCTGAAATGGCTTGCCTCCGGAAACTCTATGTACAAACAGTGCTCAGGCCGTTTGTTTATAGGGTCGCTATGAGTCATCTACGACTCAACGGCATCAAACAACAACATCATTTATATCACATGCAATCAAAATATCACTGAAGATCATTCAAAAGGACTAGAACAGTATATAGACAGAGAACTACCAAAAGTTCAAGCTAGCGTTAGAAGAAGGCATGGCACAAGAGACATATTATTGCTGATGTCTGATGGATCCTAGCTGAAAGCAAAGAATACCAGAAGAATGTCACTTTGTACTCCATTGACTATGCAAAGGGATTGGATGGTGTGGATCATACAAATTATGGCTAACATTGAGAAGAGTGAGAATCCCAGAACACTTAATTGTGCTCATGTGAAACCTATACCGAGAGGCTATTGTGTGAACAGAAGATGGGAACACTATAAGATTTAAAATTAGCAAAGGTGTTCATCAGGGTTGTATGCATTCTCCCTGTCTATTCAATCAGTATGGTAAGAAAATTATTCAAGAAATTGGTCTCTATGAAAAAGAATGTGGCATCAGGATTGGAGTAAGACTCATCAATAACATTTGTTATGCAGATGATACAACCTTGCTGCTGAAAGTGAGGAGGACTTGAAGCATTTGCTGTAGAGGGCCTTCAATGGGGACTGCATCTCAATGTCAAGAAAACAGAAATCCTTGCCACTGAACTCATAGGCATCATCATGCCAGATGGAGAAAAGATTGAAACTGTCAACTATTACATCTTACTTGGATCCACAATTAATACACTTGTTACCAGTAGTCAAGATGTCAGAAGATGTATTGCATTGGGAAAGATTACTGTCAGGAACCTCTCCAAATTATTGCAAAGCAATGGTGTCAGTTTGAGGACTAAGGTGCACTTGATTCAGTCATGGTCTTTTCAATCACTTGCTGTGCACCTGAGAGCTGAACAATGAATGAAGATGATTGAAGAAAAATGGATGCCTTTGAGTTGTGGTGTTGGAGAAGAGTACTAAATATCCTATGGAGTGCCACAAGAACAAACAGGTCTGTCTTGGAGAAGGTACTGCCAGAGTGCTCCTTGGAGGTAAAAATAATAAAGCTTCATCTTACATACTTTGGGCATGTTGCTAGGAAAGGAAAGGCTATTCCCTAGATAGAGACATCATGCTTGGAAAGTTACAGGATTTGTGAAAGTGAGGAAGACCCTCAGTGAGAAAAAATGGCACAGTGACTACAGCAATGGGCTCCAGTATGGTAGAGATTGGGAGAATGGCACAGGATAGGACATGCTTCCGATATGTTGTTCATAAAATTGCTGTGAGCACAGTGCAACAATGAATGAATGAAAACCCAAAATCTCTGTAAATGTTCATTAAAACTAATAAAATTTAATAATAATTTTTAAAAAGTTTTAAAAAAATTGCTGTGAGCTGTAGTTGACTTAACAGCATTTAATGTTATTTATCAATAACAACATATTCAAAGATAGGCCTGAAATCATTGCTCCTACTTGGTCTTCTAAGAATTTTATAGTTTTAGTTTTCATAGTTAGATCTTTAATGCATTTGTAATTTGTTTTTACATGTAGTGTGAGGTAAGAATGCTGTTTCATTTTTCTGTAGGTTGAAGTCCAGGTTTCCCAGCATTGCTTATTGAAGAGACTATTCTTTCCCTCATCAAAAGTACTTCATACCTTTGTAAAAAAAATTAGTTGACCATAGATGTGTGGATTTATTTCTGGAATCAATTCTATTCTATCAGTCTATGCTAGTATCATTATACCAGTAGCTGCTTTCAAGTTTGGGAAGATGAGTGGAGCAGCTGGATTCTACAAAGGTGTGTTTTCTGTTTTGGCTGAAACTTGGTTGGGACTGTTGTTCACAATTGGGTGTGAGCTGATTGGATTTAGCCTTGTGTTTAAAAAAGTGTTTGGGAGTTCTCCAGTGGTCCCATGGATCTGTCTCTTGCTTCAACAGTGTTTGGAGGGAAGAGACCTTCTGACTTCCCCCCTTCCAGCCTCCGACTACCCTCCAACTTCACCTCCAGGCAACCTCGGGACCATCTCAACCATCTCCTATTTTTGGGACCAGCCAACACATTTTTTTTGTTAGCCCCCAAACCTCGACCAACTATGAGGTCTCAGATCCGTCAAAATTATTCCTCCGAAGCAAAAGCTGGCACCAACCGTCTGGTCAACCTGCACCTGCAGGTCTCTTGCACCTACCTCTCCCTGGGTTTTTATTTTGACCGCAATGATGTGGCCTTGGAAGGCATGGAACACTTCTTCCGCGAGTTGGCGAAGGAGAAATGCGAGGGTGCCGAACAGCTCTTGAAGCTGCAAAACCAACGCGGTGGGCGAGTCCTCTTCCAAGATATCCAGAAGCCATCCCAGGATGAGTGCAGTAAAACCCTGGATGCAATGCAAGCAGCGCTGGCCTTGGAGAAGAACCTAAACCAGGCCCTTCTGGATCTGCACGCCGTGGGTTCTGCCCACACTGACCCCCATCTCTGTGCCTTTCTGGAGAATCATTTCCTGGACAAGGAAGTGAAACTGCTGAAGAAGATGGGTGACCATCTGACCAACATTAGAAGACTGGGCTTGCATGTGATATTAATGATACTGTTTGATAATTTCCACATTCTATTGGATCTTCTTTCTTGGGAATGGGAACAAAAATGGATCTGTTCTAATCAGTTGGTCAATCAGCTGTCTTCCAAATATCCTGACATAGACTGAAAATCTGTGGAGGCCAAGGATTCCTGTTCTACTAAGTTAAAACCCTACAAGAAAGAGCAGTAGCTGCAGCTGATAATCAGGAACCTAATGAGACTGTCATTGTATAATATTTCAAAATCAGAAACTATGGGTCTTGCAACTTTGTTCTAATCTAGCATTTTTTTCAGCTATTTAGAACCTCTTACCTTTCTGTATAAAGTTGAAGATTAGTTTTTATATTTCTGTAAAGAAATTGTTGGAACTTTTGTCAGGAATACACTTAATCTATAGATAAGTTTTAGTAGTACTGACATCCTCCAATTCTTGAGCATGGTACATCTTTATCTTTATTTAAATTTTCTTTAATCTGAGCAGTGCTTCTTAATTTTCACTTGTTGCTGCTGTTATGTGCCATCGAGTCAACTACATCTTATAGCAATTCTATAAATAATAGCTCTAAGTCTTGCTCTATCTTGAGCCACTCTCTCTGTCTCTGACACACCTGTCTGCGTTGTCACATTGCTGCCTTGTCAACCCAGCTCATCAGGATCTTCCTCCCCTGAGCTGATCTTCAGCCCTTCTGAACATGGTGTCCTTCTCCAAGGATTGGTCCCTCTTGGCAACATGCCTAAAGTATGTGAGATAGAGTTTCAAAATCCTTGTCCCAAGAAGCAACCTGGTTTCACTTTCTCCAGGACAACCTGTTTGTTCTCTTACCAATCCATAGTATTTTCAATACTCTTCTCCAGTACCATAACTCAAAAGTGTAGATTCTTTTTCTGTCATCCTTAGTCATTGTCCAGCTCTCAGATGCATAGGAAGTAATTGAGAATACTATGGCTTGGATCATGTACATCTTAGTTTCTAGACTGATATTGTTTACTCCTTAGCACTCTGGATAAGTGTCTGACAGCAGACTTTCACAAAGCAACTCGTCTTTTGATTTCCTGACTTCTGGTGCCAAGAGTGTCGATTATAAAGCCGAGCAAGATGAAATTGTTAACAACCTCAATCTCTTCTCCATTTATCATGATGCTGCCAACTGGCCCAGTGGAGAGAATCTTTGTTTCCTTGATGTTGAGATGCAATTTAAAAACTAGTGAGGCATGTTAGGGACTTATACAATAAGAATTTTTTCAATTTCTTTTTTTTCTCATTGTATAAGTCCTTAATATCCCCAGCTAGTTTATTCCTACCCCTTTTATTCTCTTTGATGATATTATTAATGGATTTGTTTCCCCAGTTTCTCTTTCAGATTTTTCCTTTCTTGGGTATAAAAACTTAGTTGATTTTTGTTTGTTGACTATACTAAATTTCTCTATTAGCTCTAGATGTATTTTCTGTGAACTCTACAAGTTTCTATATATAAAATCACATTATTTTATACAGGAGTGGAAGGCCCTCTATGAGGTGGATTGATTCAGTGACTGGGGTAATCAGGATGGGAGTGTCAGAGACAGTGTGATTGGCACAGGACAGAGCAGGGTTTAGGGCTGTTGTACATAGGGTCGCTATGAGTCTCAAGTGACTCGACAGCATGTAACAACAACAACATATTAATAATAATAATAATAATTATTATTATTAATTATTGAGGTAATTTTTACTTGTTTTTTTAAGCTGGATAGATTTTCTTTCAATAACTCCAGGCACTAGAAAAAGAAGAACAACTAAAACCAAAATTACCAGAATAAATTAAATAACAAAAAGTAAACTAGAAAGAAATAAAACAAAACCCAGAAAAACAACAGCAAAAACAACTCTGTGCCATCGAGGCAGAAATGACACATAAATGACCCTTCAGCAGGTTTTCAGAGGCTGTATCTTACATGGCAGGAGACTGTTCATCTTTCTGCTGCAGAGTTGCTGGTGGATTGGAACCACCTACCTTTGGGTTGGCAGTGTGACTCCATACCCAGCAGATCACCACAGCTCCATTAGGTGCCAAATTAATAAGAGAATGAGTGATTGATCAATGACATCTGGTTTGTGGATTCTGTGGTTTTTCCCTTACTGGAAAGACAGAGGATAAGTAGCTGCTCTGTTCACCACAAATTATAAGCTTTTTATCATGACATGGAGAGTTTGGAATGAGGTTGACATAGCTTCTGATCCTATTAGCAACCAGCATCAGGAGCAAAGCCAAAGCACTAACATCTAAGAAAAGAGTGAAAGATTTGAAAGGCAGGTTTTGACAACTGTCTAGTTTCTAATTCTCCGTAAAGATCTGTCAGAGCATGAGTGTTGCTAGCTTAAATCAAATGTGATGTTGATGTTTCTGAGAGTGTGGTTTTTCAGACTGAAATCAGTGTGGAGATGGCAAGCAAAGAGGTTGGCAAAATGAGAACGAAAAACTTCCCATTATATGTGTCCAAAATAAACCTTGGCTATCGCTATGGAGTGATTATATTTGTTAGATCTTTATGTAATAAAATATAACCTCTCTTATCATAATACTCACCAACACCCTTAATCCTTTTGTACTGCTGGGAGAAAGTGTGATTTTCCTTCATCAGAAAAGGAAATAGAGATGGCAAAAGACATCTGTTCGTTGTTCAGCAAGTTAATAGCAGCCAAATTAAAGAAACCACACACTTTTTTGCTTAAAACAATGCATCAGAACACCTTACCTAAGAGAATACCAATCTTTGATAGCATTTGAACTAATGATCATGTATTAATTTAAAGGCAACACTAGCCAGGACACTAAATAGTTCTGTTTGCAAAGAAAATCCACAATCAAAACTTTACAGAAACATACTACTGGCATTCGAGTAGCTTGCTCAGCTTGAGCATATGCTATCTGATCCTTTTTTAGAATCATTAAAAAAACCAGCACTAGAACTTTCGGTGTAGCTTAAAGTATATGACTAGGATGATTAGGAAGAATGGAATTATGCTCGAATTTTAAGTTAATGGAGAATTCCAGTCATTTTAAAATGAATTGTAGGTATCACACTATCATTTTCTTTGAATTTTATGTTTTAGGGGTTTTTTTGTTGAGCTCGGCTTTTTTGAGACCACAGATGGAAAAGCTATTAAAATTGGATTCATTCATGGCTACATTTTGGGCATTAATTTAGTTGGTGGTTTTATAATGTCTTCATGTGCATGGCCGGGGTCCAGTTTTTATAGGTAATGATATCCTAGATTGGTAATATTTAATACTGATACTGTTGTTACAGCCTGTCTAGTTGCCTGCATTTCATAGTGACTGACCCTTTGCCCAATAGCTCTGAGTTCTGCCCTAACCTGAGCCAGTCTCACTGTCTCCACCATGCCTGCTCCCATTAAATAGTCATGCAGGTACGTCACAAATGCAATTTGAGTTTCCATCTATGCATTTCGCACTGTATTCGTCTTCTTCTGAAGCAAGTGGTCATTGCCAAGGAAAGAAACCACAGGCTTGAGGATCATACATTTATGTTCTGCTCACTCACTCCCAGTATGACTTTATGAAGATCATGTAACTTCTCAAAAGTCTTGGACGTTTCATCAATGAAATGAAGGGGAGAACATTCTAGCTGAAGAGAACATTATTAACAGAGACTGGAGGTAAAGGCGACAAGTAGTCCTGAGTGTGACTAAGGAAGAGATAACATATCAAGAGAAAGAAACTGAGTAGCTACAAATAAATAGTGTGAGTTAAATAACATCAGGATGAGGATGAGGATTTAATTCAATGGATCAACAGCAACTATAGTTAACAATAACAAAGACAATATTAAAATGTGACAAAAATAAAAATTCTTGCAATTAGGAAGCCACTTCCCTCCCCCCACAAACCAAGATGGTTACAATAATTTTTATATGGGATGAAGAGGCCCTCAGCTGCATTGTGGTAGAAGAAACAGGAAACAGAAGGGAAGAAAACAACAGTAGGATTGGTGACTCTCTCTCTCTCTCTCTCTCTCTCTATATATATATATATATATATGTAAAAGAATGAGTCAAGGATGACTGGGTGATTCTGGGTGATGGCAGAGATGATGGATTACATAATTCACAAGAAATAAAAGGTGAAAAGGGAGAGTGAGAAGGGTTAGTGAGCTGTTGAGTTAGAGGGAAAATGACAAGTCATTGTGGGGAATACTGAGATTTGGGCATGTGAGCCATGGTCATCTTTGGAGATCAGGTATGATGGTGGTAGTTGAAGTCCTTGGCACAGATGAGCTTTCTAGTGAATGGAGAAAGAGTGAGAGCTTTATTCATTATTTGGAATGAAACTTTGGAGGATTAAGCGAAGTGGTTGTGTTTTTAGGCACCACCGAGTTGAGTACAACTCATGCTATTGTTATGAGCTGTCTAGTCGCCAGCAATGCTTAACAACCTTATGAAACCTGCCCTGTTCTGAGCCAGTCTCACTGACTCTGACACACCTACCCCTATTGCCCCAGTTACTGTATCAATCCATCTCAGGCAGGGTCTTCCTCTCCTGCACTGTCCCTCCACCCTTTCATCCTTCCCCAAATATCGATCCCTCCTGGCCACATGCCCAAATTAGAGCTTCAAAATAGAAATGGAGCTTCAAAATCCTAGCCTCCAAGGAGAAACTTGGTTTCACCCTCTCCAAGACAGACCTATTTGTTTTCTTGATGGTTCATGGTATGTTCAAGACTTTTCTCCACCACTACAACTCAAAAGCATCAATTCTTCTTCTGTTGTCCTTATTAATTGTCCAGTAAGTGATAAGAAAGCCCATGGCCTGAATCAGATGCACTTTAGTCCTCAAACTGACATCATTACTCCTCAATAATTTAGAGAGGTCTCTAACTGCAGATTTTCCCAGTGCAATATGTCTCTTTATTTCCTGACTGCTGGTACCAAGGGTATTAATTGTGGATCCGAGTAACGTGAAGTCGTTGACATTTTCA